GGCAGTAGTATTTCATAGACGTAAATATAGAGGCTGTTTCCAAAAATAAATAATTAATATACACAGTAAATTGTTCATGGATATGAAGTTTTTTAGAGAACAGGGGGGGGGCGATCGCCCGATCGCCACCCCCTCCTGGATCCGCCACTGAACAACAATGAATAACATATAAATATAAAAATAATGAATTAACTTATTTAGATAAAGAATATGTTTATTACTTATGGAGTATGGACACTATAAAATCAGATCTGACAAGGATTGCGCCAGGAATAGAGCTAGCAGGAAGTGAAAATAGAGAGAAGTGGCAAGTTAATAGTGAAAGCAGCAAAAGCCCTCAATAGGCTAAAAGCTAAAGAATTTTTTTAGTAATTATAGTAGTTAATTCATGTTCTTGTATTTGTTCATTAGTATATTTATGTACCAATTTTATTATAATATAAAGTAAACTGAAAAGGTCTTATAGACACAATTTTTTGTTCTAAAACACTTAATCATTTAAACCTAGTTTTTGAAGAACTATTAAATGGTAGGTATATAATCTAATTTAATAATTATATAAAATAATTTATATAGATCATTTTCCACTCCACTTTACAATTGCAGTTATAAATGCTAATTGTTAAACTCATACATAAAATTATTTTCAATTAAAGATCAATTTCCTGAATCAATGATTTGTATCTATAGTGGTAATATTACTACCAGCAGATGAACATAATATTTTAATACTTTTAAGCAAACTGCATTGAGTAGTTTAGGTACAGAATGAATAATTTTATTTAGAGTGTCCAATTATAGACAATGCATCACTTATAAAATACATTGATGTAGGGACATGGTAATCAATAGATACATTTGAGTCTACGATAGGTCAATATTATTTTTAAGTTTTTTAAATAACTAACTTTTTGGCTAATTATTATTTTATTAAACACCAAGAAGGAATTCTCCTATATGTTGTTTTTATCTATTTTTACTCTAAAACTATTGATTTTAACTTTGTTGGACTTCGTCCTATACTGTCCTAGAGTCCTACGGGTTATATAGATTATAGAATGTGTGTAATGGTGTTGTAAATGATTCACGTCACTTTCTCTTAATCTCATTAATATATATTATTCATAATAGTATATATTAATATTATTATATATTATTATTTATTACACTAGACAACGCTCTATTAGTGTAATAATATAATATAGCCATAGCGTATGGAATTAATAAACGAGGTGTATATTGTATATTTTATATATATATATATGTATATATGTATATATATATTATATATATATATATATATGTATTACCTACCTACATTTTACTGAGAGAGCAACTTGCAGGGGCTTCAGAATTGTCTTTATACTTTATAGGAGGAACGGTTCTGCCGACGCGTGGCTTTAAAGCTACGTATCTATAATACGTTATTTTAATTATAGTATATTTTAGATTTTGAATTCCGAAATTGTGAATTTCTTGACTTTTACTTGAAATTGAATTGTGTAAAAAATAAAAATGATGTGGTGTATCAATTTGCATACTACAATATTACCATTGTATTTGATGCGTCTTACACTATATAGTATATACCTTTACCTATATTATAGTACATTAGTTTTATGTGTTTAAAATACATAATTTAATGATTTATAGTTAGCTTAAAAGTAAAACACAAGATTGTTTTTTATGCAGTTATTCAATTCATTTGAATGTTGAATCGTCAGTTGAACCTTATCCGACTAAAATTGATATGTGCTTACTATCTACCTATAAGTTAAAATGTTAGATAACTTTAAATAATTAACAACAACGTCCGTCGTAAATGTTACCTACCTACCTATTAAGTTTTGATCGTTAGGTTAGGTTAAATTGTCAACTTATATTGTTATAATTATTAATTAATACATATATATGATATAGGTACGTAATGTTACGATGGGAATTCTGAATACTAGTTCAATTAAGATGAGTCACTAAGTGACTGGAATATTTTATTTACCGTGAGTCCGTGTCTCCCACTGATTTCAGTGAAAAGGTAGCGGGAGGAAAACTGGTCATTGACAACGAACTACGAAGACGTGACTGCGGTCTGCGAAGTGTGTGCATTTCAGTTAGTGCAGTTCGGTCACAGCGCGGTGTTCATCGATGTAGGTACTGTTTTAGTGATTGTGTGAGCAAAATCAGAAAACATGAGTTTAAGAAAAGTGTCCCGGCGTTTGAGCTTAGATGAATGTACCCGCGAGTATTTGGAAATGGGAATGGACTTAACGAACAAGCGAAAAAGATATTTTAGTTTTCACGAGAATGCAAAAAATCGGAACCGAGATAGGCCAATATCTTTTGAACTTCCGGACATGGATTTAGTCGAAACCGACGAACGTACCGAAACAACTATTGACGGGACCAAAAGTACCAATCAATTGAGCGTTAATAACTACAAGGAAATGGTGAAACAATGTCTGCTGGACTCAGCAAAAGCATTCACTAATGGTTTTCAATTTCTTCACGATATCGAATCTGGTATGSCAAATTTAGATACATTAAATCGGTGTCCGCAGCAACTGAAAAATTTAATTGTTCTGTGGGCGTGTTTTGTCGATAAATGTGATGTCGTAGAAGTCTTAGTTAAAGCCGGTGCAAACGTTAATTACTTACTACCTTATAAAGGCTATGGTGCTGTTCATATAAGCGCTTTGAACGGTTGTGTTAATTGTTTGAGATGGCTGTTGAATAATGGATGTGAACCGAATTGCCGAGTTGACGAGATGACAGCACTACACTTTGCCACCTTCACGGATTCGGTTGATGCGGTCCATACACTTATGGAACACGGCTGTAAACTCGAACCCACTGTCCTCCATAGCGCTGTAAGATCCAGAGCTATAGGGTGCATTCAACTTTTATTATTCAAATACAACGTGGACGTTAATATGCTGGACTCAATGGGTTTAGCTCCTATACATATTTGCGCTGACCAAGGTTTTTCAGACTGTATGTACATGCTGTTAAGTTATGATAAAACGTTAATCGACCTAAAAGACTATCACGAATGTACGGCGTTGCATTTGGCTTGCGAATCTGCACACGTAGAGTGTGTAAAATTGTTGATCGAACACAAAGCTAATATACATGCTAAAAATATGAAATTTCAAGTACCTATGCACATGGCCGCAAAAGCTCCGAGTGTGGAATGCATCGATTTACTCATAAAAGCGGGGGCTGACGTCAACGCCAGAGACATAGATGACCGAACACCATTGCACTCAGCCATATCTGTTAAGACGTTAAATGTTTGTCACGCAGTAGACACTTTGCTATGTCACCAAGCAAAAATTAACGTACAAGATCACTTTGGTTTTACACCTCTGCACATTGCGGCGATCAACGAGGTGCCGGAATGTGTAGAGTCATTGTTAGCCAAGGGTGGAAACGTGGGTATTCAAACGTACGGTGGTATATCGGCACTAAACATGATTGTAAGAAAAGTGCCTTCGTGCGTGCCGGCCGTAGCCAAACAGTTGGACAGCGCCGTTACATCCAACTGGGCAGATGGATTTAAGCGCGGTCCGGAAATACAACTTCGATTTAAGTATTTGTTGAACTGTAATACTTTTGGTGAAATTGATTTACTAAAATGTTTTCAAGAAGAAGGCCAATATGAACTACTACAACATCCACTGTGTCAAGCTTTTTTATTTCTGAAATGGAGAAAGATACGAAAATATTATTTAATGCGACTGGCGAGCTTAGGATTTTTTATTCTTATGTATACGCTCTATGTAACGAGCGTATTGAGCCACGATTGTTACAATGCGATCCATTTGTCCAATCAAAGTACTTCGATTTGTTTCCAGAACAACTCCACCCTCGGTGAATTTTTAGTAGAAAACTATCAAGTAATGGATGTAAT